TCGACTTTCACCTGATATACCGGTTTTCGCATACTTCATATGAGTGAATTATCATGATTTTTGAAAGTTTGTTAGAACAAAAAATATGTCAGAACCCTTACAATTTGGCATCAGGAAACCCCATTTTTTACGGGCTTTCATTTGGTATAAAATTCATTAGGGTTGGTATTCAGAATTGTAGCGTTACCCCCCTGGAATAATATTATTTCCAACCCTGTATATAGATAATTATATTTTTAATACTAATAGTAATTCATAACTAATGTCAGTGTTAATTAACTCTTTTAATTTTAACACAACAGTGTTCAGGTATTTTTTTAAAACTCTAATGCAATGCTAATGCTAAGCTAGTATCCCTGAAAATAAAAGTCAGAGTTTGTGGGTTCCACACTTGGGTCTCGGAAGGGACCATACTGGCAAGCTTTTTCTTGTAGAAAGGCTTTTCAAAATGTCTTTCTTTCGTGAAGTTCGGATAGAGTCTGTCAGGATTGATAAGTCCGTTGACGCAAGCTATCCATTGGCTAAATTAGGTATCCGGAAGGCTTAACTCCGCTATCGTCTGGACACAGCGTGCAACTTTTAGGGGCATATGAGAGAAAAATCCTATGGACCCTAACTTGCCCGAAAAACTGCGAGCTCCATTCTTACAATGGCGGTGAAAAACCTTTCTGAAGTCTGATTGCTCGAAATTTATATATCAGCGATTAATCCTTGAACGCTGTCCTCATTTTTTCGCACGAAGGACGTCATGTGGGTCCGGTTGGATCCACATGCAATTACGCTAGCCATAGATGAGCCAAGATTCTCATGGTATTCTTTCATGGATATTTACGCTTGTATGGGTCATTATGGAACTCAATTCAATGCCCCTATATTAAGAGAAGTAATTTAAATAGATTATAATAACACTAGAACGTTCAAATTATTGAATAGAACTTGCATATCAATACAGATTAGTAAATATAAATGCATATATGAATATAACTTAGATAGTCACTCATATTAAAGACAAGAAGTTTTTTTAATTTTTATCTTAAATGGATAAAATATCATAAAATCAATGTAACTGCTAAAACTATTTTAGTTCTTGTTGTGTAAATTTCTTTGATTTGTTCGTTTATCAGACTTCATTTTGACGACGTATTTTTCTTGCACGACTGGCAAATCACTGATGTGATACTAACAGAATGTGAATTACAAACATTCTTTTGACATGCGTCACAAATTTGTCTGACTTTACGACCAGGATGAGATGGACAAAGAAAGCATCTTTTTTTTGTTTTAACAAGATTATCAATATTATCTTGAACCATTAAATTTTCGGTTTTCAATTCATATCCAAAAGATTGAAGTGCAAGTTTAACTTTTGGTGCAAGTCGAGGTTGTTTGACGCGTCGTTGATTACGAGAATCAGTTAATGATTTGCTTAATTCTTCTAAAAAAAGGCGCCGAAAATATTTTTTCCCAACGTTCCAATCTGGATTTTGATCTAGCCAAATATTCAAGGAATTTATTGCCGCTATATCAATCATATTAAAAAATACTATCATTGGCCATCTGCGAGTTATTCGACGACAAGTGTAATTGTTAATACATTGATCGACCACATCAACACCAAATTTTGTTTGATTATAATCGTGAATCATTGTTGGAAGTTTCTTTTCATCATCAAAAACCTCAACAAAATCATGTAATGTTGATAATAATATGATTGGTGTTTTTTTTTTCTTTTGCTTGGTAAGATAAAATTGTATTTTGGCCAGAAAAATAAAACCATGATAAGTGTAAGTCCTGTTGAATAAGTTTCAATTCATTCGGGACAAAACTACGTTTATGATTAACAACACCAAGTGATGTCATTTTGCATTCTAATAGAGCCTGTGCCAAGTTGAAATCAGTAAAATATCGATCGAACGTGATGTTTCGACCTTGTTGGACATTCTTCGACAATTGATCTACTAAATGTAAAACAATATTTGTGGGAATATTGCGTTGAATTGTATTGCCAACTTTTCCAGTGTATAATTCCAATGCTAAAACATATCTACTTTTGACATCACATAAAGTCCAGAATTTAAGGTCATATTTAGCAGGTTTCTTTGGCATATACTGTATAAAACAACATCTGCCTCAAAATGGTACTAATTGTTCATCGATCGTGATATTTTCACTTGAAATAAAATGTCGAGGAAGTTGTTTAGTAAATGATTGAAACACATATCGAATAGCGGCGAGTCGATCGGACTTATCACGTCGTTGACGATCATCAAATCTAAGAAATCGTAAAAGATTTTTGAATCGTTCCAATGACATTGTTGCATGATACATTGGTCGACTTCGACTAATATCCCATAATTCTATAAGTGATTGATGATGACTAAATTCAGCACCAGCTTGAATCAACAAGCCGAGAAATGCTTCTAATTCGATGTAATCAAGCTCTTTTCATTTTATTGGTTGTTTATGATTATTCCTAATATTCAATCGTCTTTGATTTTCTTGATCAATAAATCTTTTCGCATATTTATTTGTTTGCATAACAATTTCGTTCAGAATGTCTTCAGTAATAAACAATCTAAATGCATCTATCATAGTCTGAATTGAAGTAATAGAACCAGATTTTTTTTAAGTATATTTATTGCACGTAGGTGTCCAGGAACTTGAGTCTTTTAACTCGACCATGAAATACCATTTTTTTCAACAAATTCAGGTTGAGCATGTTTGAATATATCATTATCATCATTGACATAAGAATCTGATGAATCATTATCACTAGCATAAGAATCAGACGAATCTTCGTTCTGCGAAATAAATTCATCAGTGGATATGTCATCGGATTCGGTTTCAGAAATATGATAATCTGTATCAGAATTCGATTAATCATCCTCAGAAATGTTATCAAATTCATTCGTACTATTTGACGTAGAAAATTCACGACTTCTTTTTAAATTTGGATTAGTAGTCATTCTTTTTATCTGAAAAAATACTAAAAATGTTGGACTTTTTATACTCGAAGAATCTTAGAAGTTTTAGGCATAGTTTCTCTCCACGGAAAGAAAATCGAAGATAATTGTCGTGATACAAAATGGTTATAAAAGTAGTTCGATGTAATTGTAACAAATCTAGCAGACAAATATCAAATAATAGACGAATCACTATTGGTAGTGACAAGTTAACGAATCTCTTGAGAGATAAGCCTTCTAGATAACAGAGGGCATATTGAACAAGAAAAAAAAATCACACATATAACACTAAAGATGTTATGGGCTCCGTGTGGACCCACCCCTTAATTTTGCCCCTGTAAGAGGTATCAAAGAAATTTCATATGATCTTTGTGCATTGTTAGGAGAGTAACGATTAGAGAAGAGATCGATCCGCAAACGATAAGTATTAACGTAGCTAAAGACAAAAATCAGCGTTGTGGGTCCGGTTGGACCCCCAGACAGCGTACAAGGGTTAAGACGTAAAGGTATTGTTTCTCAGCTTCGGGATTATCAAATCGTAATATTGCTCGCGTCAATGTGGTTACAGCAGAGAATCAGCTCTTTTCTGAGAAAACAAAAACAGAATGCAACAGTATTTTTCACCGGTGAATTACTTAATCGCTTACTATTTATCAGATACGTTCTAAGTAAAAAAAAAACTTAGTTTTAATATTGATGATTAAGGCCCCCCCTCAAAAAAAGTGAATTTTCGTGAAAATGTCCAAAATTGAGTTAAATACATCGGGAGATAGCCCGTTTTTCGTTCTTTCCAAAATGCTA